ACTATTTTGACTTCTGTTTCCTGTGTTTTTGGTGTTGTATCCAAAAAAATCATTGCCAAGATCAATGTTAAGCAGTTTTCTTCCTATACTTCCTTTAAAAATTTTTATGGTTTCAGCTCTTATGTTTACATTTTTAATCCATTTTTAGTTAATTTTTGTGAGTGATGTAAAACTGGGGTCCAATTTCATTCTTCTGAATGTGGTTATTCAGTTTTCCAACACCATATATTAAAGAGTCTATCTTTTCCTCATTGAGTATTTTTGGCTCCCTTGTCAAATACTAGTTGAGTATATATTCAAGGGTTTATTTCTGGGCTTTTTTTTTTTTTTTCAAGTCTGTGCCACTGGGTTATGCATCTATTTTTATACCAGTAGTACATTGTTTTGATTAGTACAGCTTTGTAGTATAGTTTGAAATCAGGAGTGTAATGCCTCTTTTTGTGGTTCCGTGTAAATTTTAGGATTGGTTTTTCTATTTGTGTAAATAACATCATTGGAATTTTGATAGACATTGCATTTAACCTATAGATGCCTTTGGGTGTTACAGAGAGCTTAACAATATTAATTCTCCCAATTCGTGAGCATGGGATATCTTTGTATTTGTGTCTTCAGCTTCTTTCATCAAAGTCTTACAGCTTTCAGTGTATAGATATTTCACCTCCTTGGTTAAATTCATTCCTAAGTATTATATTGTTGTTGATGCTACTGTGAATGGGACTATTTTATTTTATTTTCAGAACTCTCATTGTTAGTGTATAGAAAAACGATTGATTTCTGAATGTTGACTTTCTGTCCTGCAACATTGCTGAATTTGCTGAGCAGTTCTGACAATTCTATGGTGATCTCAGGATTTTCAATACATCCTGTCATCTGCAAACAAGACATTTTACTTCTCTCTCTTTTCCATTGGGATGACTTTCATTTCTCTTCTTGCCTGATTTCTCTGGCTGGGACTCTTAGTACTGTAACTGGAGTGAGACGTGTGGGCATCCTTACCTCGTTCCCAATATTAGAGAAAAAGCTTTCACCAATGGGTATGATGTTAGCTGTGGGCTTGTCATATATGGCTTTTATTATGTTGATTCCTGTTTCTTTTATACCCAATTTGTTGAGCATTTTTATCATGAAAGGATGGTGTATTTTGTCTAATTTTTTCCTACATCTATTGAGATGATCATTTATCTTTTATCCTACTAAAGTGGTGCATCATGTTTATTGATTTTCGTGTTGAACCACCCTTGAATGCCACTGGATGGTGATGTGTGATCCTTTTAATATGTTGATTTGGTTGGTTAATGTTTTGTTGAGAATTTTCACATCAGTGTTCATCAGGAATATTAATCTGTAGTTCTCCTTTCTTGAGGTGTTCTTATCTGGCTTTGGTATCAGGGTAAAGCAGGCCTTGAAAAATGAGTTGGGGAGTTGTAGAATAGGTTTTAAATGCAGATATTAGGTCCCTTTACTACTTAGAATTTCTGGTCTATGAGATATTTATCTTGTTTTTAAATACAACTATGTCATATTTTTTGTTTCCTTATCTTTCATTTTTGATATTTAGAGCACGGTGGGTGGAGGTGGTAGTGAGTTCTCAAAGTGAATTCACACGAAATCTTGATCAGAATACATTACTGCTGCTACTACCACTATTATTACTACAAAGACTTACTGGAGGATTCCCATGTGTCAGGCTCTGTGCAGAGTGCCTCTTGCAGTCTCTGAATATAACCCTTCTAGCAACCCTTTTGCACATCCTGAGTTTATGGATGACAAAACTGAGGCTCAGAAAGGCTGCAGATGACTTGCCTATGCTTATGCCATTGGCAACTCTTAGAGCCTATTTTTGAACTTGGGCCTGAGATCAAAGCCTCCACGTTGGACCACTTTTGACAGTATCCTCCTCAGGGCTGCCCCCTGTGCACCTGTGTTCACTGTCCAGAGAGGAAGAATGTTGTTCCACCTGAAGGGCCCCTGCCCTCACCTACAGAACGTTCTCTCAGCAAACGTCCTTCTCCCAGGAGACAGTCCTCTGACTCTCACAGCACTCAGCTGGGGAAGGCACGAGTCACCGCTGATTGAGGCTGCACCTCACTGTTCTGGAACAAACCCTCTCTCCCCATCCAAACCTCACATCCAGGTCTATTACCACTATGTCGCCTGGTCCAGATGCACCCACTTCCCCACGAGAAAAGGCCTCTTTGTAAGGTCCAGACAGTCATTTCAGGTGAAACCACATTGTAATGTATGAGACTGGTGTTAAGTAAAGAGCAGGTGGGCTTGGGGATCCAGTGCCTCCTGGCCAGCTCTTGCCTTTGGCAGTTCTTGACTTGAAATTGAACCTATGAGTGGCTTTCATGTCTGAGCCACCAGTCCTGATGGCATGGGACAGAGTCAAATATTTCTCACCCCTGTCAGTGGCATGTGTCATGCTCTAGCCACACCTGCAGGACACACGTGCTGTACCCAGAGTCAGGTGGGCCTCCAAACACCAACTAGACCCAGAACCCTGAGCTCTGGGTACTCAGGCACCATCCCTGCAACATTAGTTTCCCCAATAAACTCTGTCCGCCTCACTTTGCTTGGGTCTGGGCTTCTGCCTTGAGCCCCACATCAAAGCTTGAGTCATTGCCCCTCTATCACTCCAGATCCACGCCTCCCCCATTTCCTACTCCGTCCAGCCAGGACCCCATTCTGAAGCTCCATCCAACTGCTGTACATGTATTTTTTCGGCCCTGCTCCTTGGGGCCCAGCTCCCTAAGACTGGGGATGCTTTCTACACCCCGCGCACAGGCTGGGTCTTGCTGCCTGGGGATGACGTGACATTTGGATATTAGTCACCAGCTTGGTGCGTTTCCCTTCACCTGGCTTCAGTCCTGCCTCCCTCCTGTTCTAAGGTGGCAGGGCTCTTCAAACAGATCTTGCTTGATCTGTAAGGCCTTGGACAGCAGTCCTCACCTTCACTGTGCCTCTTCAGTCATCTGCACCTCTGCCTGCTTCCAAGGCCCACTCCCACATAACTAATTTCAGAGAAAACTTACCTCAATTTTGTGGTAAAAGCATGTGGTAAATTACTGACTTTCTCAACTGACTTATACAATTAGGGGCTTTTTTCCCCTCTTAAACACAAAATGATTGAATTTTTATTTTCTCTAGAGGAAAAGAAAATGTGCAATAAGGACCATGTTCTGACTCCCAGGGTCCTGACATTCATCACTCTGCTTGGACTGCTGACGGGGTGTGTGTCTGTGTGGGCCTGTGTATGTGGTCTATGTGTGCCTGGGTGTGTGTCTGTGTGGGCCTGTGTATGTGGTCTATGTGTGCCTGGGTGTGTGGTCTATGTGTGCCTGTGTATGTAGTCTGTGTGTGCCTGTGTATGTGGTCTGTGTGTGCCTGGGTGTATGTCTGTACCTGTGTATGTGTGCCTGGGTGTCTAGGTGTGGGTGGGTATCTGTGTGTGCCTGGGTGTGTGCCTGCATGTGTTCAAAGGCTCAGAAAGAATTATTCTGGAGACATCTGTAAATCAGCTTGGGAAGAATTGCAGGACCCACTTAAGAAAAAAGATGAAGACATAGCAGGCCCAAGTTGGCCTAGGAGGTGCTGGGTGGTGAAGAAAATCATTTTACCAGTGTTGGCAGTAATTCACCCTCTTTCCAGGCCAAAAAGATGGTGACTGTTGGCATGGGGACAATATTTCATTGCTGTTTTCCTCAAAGAATAAAAAAATCAGTAGCCATAGTGTGGACAGGACAAAATCTGATTAATTTAGTTTTATTTTTGAGGAATGCAAATTCTTTTAAGCAGGAAGAGGTAGTGCACATTAATTATGTATGGGGCTATCTGAAGTCTTGTTTGCGAGCCGGAAAATAAGCATGGGGAAAAGATGTTCTCTTCAACCTTAGCCAGAAACTTCAATGGCTTATTGCGGTTTGAGAGGCTTTTGAAACGAGAGGTCAAGAGATATCACAAGGAAGAAATCTCTGCTTATATTGGTCACTTGTTCCAAATTCCAAAGTATATGAACTTAATTTCCCACTATAGCAGTTGTGACTAGCTGGCCCTCTCAAAGACAATATACAAATGTCCGCAGGGATTTCTGACAGTTAATGTAACTATATTATTATTGTCAATTCTGAATTATTTACATGTGGATTATTCACTCGTGAGCAATGTACAAACACTTCTTTTTAATCCTAGCACAGTCTGGTGCAGTGGAAAAAAAGCAAAGGACTGGGAAAGAGAAGACGCTAAAGGAGATTACACAGTTCTTCACCTGCAGAAAATGACCAGTAAGAGTTATTGTTGTTATTACTGTGATATGTGTCCACTAAACGTATACTTTCAGGCAAAGCCACTTGCATTCTCTTATACATAAAAGTGGCTTGTGTACATTCTAGGGTTACGGCAATAATAAATGAGATAAAGAGAATTAAAAATGCTTTGAGCCCTGGCTGGTGTGGTTCAGTTGGCCGGAGGGTCATCCTGTGCACCAGAAGGTGGCAGGCTCGATTCCTGGTCAGGGCACATACACAGGTGCAGGTTTGATCCCCAGTTGGGGTGCATGCGGGGGGCAACTGAACCATGTTTCTCTGACATTGATATTTTTCTCTCTCTCCCCCCCTTCCTCTTTCTAAAATCAATAAAAGCTGCTTTGAACAATTAAATAGGACAATTTAAGGTAAGATGTGGTCATCTCCCTTATCTCCCAGCAAGCTGCTGGAAGCGCCTCCCCACTGGCTGGGGCTGCTCCTGGCACGCACAGTGTTTCTCTCCCTGGGAGAGGTAGAATCAAGTCAGGAAAACCCAACATGTGGGGGTATAATCTAGAGTAAGGCAGACACAAGGGAATTCTGGCTTCCTGCAGCTTTGGTGTTTGAAACCATAGCCTGCCTTCTAGCAACGTGATAACTCCTGCGGGTGGTCTGGCCCTTCCCTTCCTTTGCAGCCTGGCCTGCGAGGGACATCCTTCCACATCGGCCCCAGGAGACAGCGGCTCAGAGGGTTACCTGTAGGTTGTATCAACACTCAGGTTGGCCGCAGCTAACTCTGACGGAGGTATCCACGCAGGCAACGTGCTCCCAGGGACCCATTTTGTCCACTCAAATAAGCCAGGCTCTACACGGATCTTCAAGTGGTTTTCTTGTTGTAAACCTTGGAGGTGAGAGAAGATGAAGGTGAAGGAAACGCCATTATGTTCTCAGTGAAAAAGTGAGTAGAGGCCAAATGGTTATAAAATCCTGGTCAATCTTCCACCCTCTTTTCAACCGGATACTATATACAGAGAAAAGAAAGTGGGAGCATGTGCGTTTGGACCGGGTTTTTCGTCTTTGTGAGTTACAGATATATGAGTGTAACACTGAGGCCACAGCACCGGAACAGGATACACGCTGGCTTGAAGGGGTGTGTGGTTTTGGAAAAACCACAGTCATTGCCCTCGTAACTCACACAGTGCTGTGCTTACAACAATTCCTTTTTCTAAAGTAAGTTCCAAGAAGCCTCATGAAGAAACTTCGGAGATTCTCTTAGCATCCACAGTCTACAACAGCTTACACTGTATTTCAATGTCGTGTAAATTATTCATTTTCTCTATCAGAATATCCCGTGTTGAATACTTACAAGTGCCAGGACACAGTTTCATGTTTTATCAAAGTGTAATGACCCGCAGAGTAGGAATAGTCCCTGCTCAACTCTCTTTATAGTGCCCTAAGCCAAGTTTTTCTATGCAAATTTAATACATAATGCATTTACATATGTAAATATATTCTGGTTTACTTAAGACTAAACAACAGCAATCTCAAATACAGTGCAAATTCTTTGCTGGGTCGGCTTTTTCTGGCCCTTCGTTTGTCTGGTGTAAGTACAGTCCAACGTTGTTCCTCCCANCTAAACAACAGCAATCTCAAATACAGTGCAAATTCTTTGCTGGGTCGGCTATTTCTGGCCCTTCGTTTGTCTGGTGTAAGTACAGTCCAACGTTGTTTCTCTGTTTTCTTTCCAGTGAAATGGAAAGGTGATTCCTAGAACGCGAGCTTCCGTGGGTTTTAGGGTGAAAGCTGAGTACCTGTATAGCAGCGGTGCTGTTAGAGTCATTCCCCTAAAGAAACGTGATGTGCAGGACCCTTGGAGAGACACTGCCCCCGGGAAAGGAGGCGCACGGCACCCTGGGAGAGTGACCTCACCGTCCCTGTGCTCCAGGCTCCGAATTATTGCCAGACAACAGTACTCTACATGCCTACAACTCACCAAGAAAAATTTTCAAGAAAAAAAATTATTTGTATGCTTTCTTTGATTACACTTATGCTGCTAGAATATGGTTTGGGGACTCTTGTAGAGGCATCTTCCAAAAGAATCATTGCTAAAAATCCCCAACTTGAAGCTGTCACTGGGCTAATGTCCCACGAGTCTAGGACAACTGAGGTGTAGGGCAGCCTGGAGACAGAAGGATGGACTCGCTGACCTTTACCAAGTCTTACCTTTCAAGATGTTGTGTGCAGTCTGAACGCAGCGCAGGGATGGGGAACAATAGACGTGGTCAATGATGGTGTTACTTTCTAATAAGGCTTCGCCTGCAAAGAAAACCAAAGGATCAACCTGATGGGCTCAGCCTCAGCTGGACCCTCAGTGTGGGAGAGGAGGCAGGAGACCCTGCTAACCTCTCTTTTTCAGGGAGGGATCACAGAAGCCAGCAGCTTCTGCCTCCTTTGTTTCCAACAAATCCCTTCATAGAGAGAGGTCTGTTTCTAGGAAAAGAAGCCAAAAGACTCCTTGTCTTTTTCTTTCCTCTCTCTGGTGCTAACAAGTGGCAAAACGTCCACCGAGGAGAGATCTAGAACCAGGATAATGCTCTGATTTCACGTTGGTGATAAAAGTAGGGTTTATATTCTGGAAATTAGGTCTTGACTTAATTTTATTCTGTGCTAAACAAGATTTCAACTTGTCATGTTCTTGGACCCGGTAATTCAACACTCTCCTCGTGGAATCCACTTCTTCCCTCCACTGGGTAAAGTCCAAACACCTTAATAGTGGTCAAGGTCTTCCACAGACTTGCCTTCATTCATCTTCCAGCCTCACCTGCTCCCCACTCACGATCTACAGTCGAGAAACAAGACAGGCTGTCTCCTCCACACTCCCAGTGCTGCTTCCCTTCCCTGACTTTATGCTGCTCTTCCCCGGGAACTGCCTCCCTCCCCTCCCCCTTCACCCAGCTGGCTGTGACTCGGGTCTCAGCTCACCCTCTTCCCCTTCGTGTGTCTTTTTTGTGCTCCCATGATTCTTTTATCATTTAGTTAAAAGGGTGAAATCAGTTAGTCTTTTTAAATTTTGTTTTTCAATTAAGGTTTACATTCAATATCAATTTGCATTAGTTTCAGGTGTACAGCAGTGTTAGACGACCATACATTTTACAAAGTGTTCCCCAGATATTTCTTGCACCCACCCAGCACTGCACACAGTTATTACAATATTATTGACTATGTTTCCTATCTATACTTTACATCCTCAAGACTGTTTTGTAACCACCAATCTGGACTTCTCAATCCCTTCACCTTTTCCACCCAGTCCCCTCAAACCACCACCCCTCTGGCAGCCATCAGTCTGTTCTCTGTGTCTTGTGAGTCTGTTTCTATTTTGTTTGTTCATTTTACTGTGTTCTGCAGATTTCACATATAAGTGAAATCATATGGTATTTGTCTTTTTCTGACATTTCACTTAGTATAAAACCCTCTAGGTTCGCACATGCTGTCGCAAAAGGTGAGATTCAATTTTGGGAGGCTGAGTAATACTCCACTGTGTAAATATACCAACTCTTCTTTATCCACTCGTCCTTTGATGGACACTGGGCTACTTCCGTATCTTGGCTATTGTAAATAATGCTGCAATGAACATAGGGGCGTTTATATTCTTTCAAATTAGTGTTTTGGGTTTTTGGGATATATGCCCAGAAGTGGAATCGCTAGATCATAAAGCAGCTCCATTTTTAATTTTTTGAGGAACCTCCACACTTTTCCTCAGTGGCTGCCCCAGTCTGCATTCCCCCCAGCAGGGCGCAGGGCTCCCCTTGCTCCACACCCTCGCCAACTCTTGTTGGTTCATCTACTGGTGACTGTCATTGTGACAGGTGTGCGGTGGGGCCTCACTGTGGTTTTCCCTTGCACCTCTCTGATGGTGAGTGACTCTGAGCACCTGCTCATAGGTCTGCTGGGCATCTGACTTCCTCTCTTGAGAAGAGTCTACTAGGCCCCTTCCCGCTGGGTTTTTATCCTCATTGGAGGATACGTGTTTAATGATTTTAGAGGAGGGGAGACAGAGAAAGAGGGAAACGTCAACGTGAAAGAGAAACGCTGACTGGTTCCCACCCATACATGCCCCAACTGGGGATCGAACCAGAAACCTAGGAATGTGCCCGACAGGGAGTCAAACCCGCAACCCTTTGGTGTATGGACGACCCTCCAACCGACTGCGCGGCCCAGTCATAACACCCTCTGCCCATTTTTTAATCGGGCTGGTTTTTTTCAGTGTTGAGTTGTATGAGTTCTTTATAAATTTTGGACATTAATCCCTTATCCAATATATCATTGGCAAAAATATTTTCCCATTAAGTAGGCTGTCGTTTTGTTTTGTTGATGGTTTCCTTTGCTGTGCAAAAAACCCTTTAGTTTGATGTAGGCCCATTTATTATTTTTTTTTTTTTGCTTCCCTTACTGAAGGAGATATATCAGAAATATATATTGCTAAAATAAATGTCAGAGATTTTACTGCTTGTGTTTACTTCTAAAAGTTTTATGGTTTCCAGTTTTACTTTTAAATGTTTAATCCATTCTGAGTTTATTCTTGCATATAGTGTAAGAAGGCGGACTACTTTCATTTTTTTGCAGGTATCTATAGACTGTCTTTACCCAATTGCATGTCCTGGCCTCCTTTGTCAAATATTAATTGACCATAAAGGTAGGCGTGGGTTTATTTCTGGGCTTTCCATTCTGTTCCACTGATCTCTATGTCTGTTTTCAGGCCAGTACTATGCTGTTTTGATTACGAAGAACTTGTAGCATACAGTGTGATACCTGCACGTTTGTTCCTCTTTCTCAAGGCTGCCGAGGCTATTTGGGGTCTTTTGTGGTTCCACATAAATTTTTGGATTATTTGTTCTAGTTCTGTGAAAAAAACCATTGTCCTTTAGATCAAAATAACATTGAATCTATACGTTGCTTTGGGTAGTATGGACATTTTAATGATGTTAAGTCTTCCAATCCATGAACATGGTATGTGCTTTCATTTATATCTTCAATTTCTTTCTTCATCGTCTCATAAATTTCTGAGTATAAGTCATTTAGCTACTTGGTTAAATTTATTCCTAGGTATTTTATTGGTGTGAGGCAACTGTAAATGAGATTTTCTTAGTTTCCCTTTCTGATAGTTCATTATTAGTGTATGAAAATGAAACCAACTTCTGATTTTTTATGTTGAATCCTGCTACTTTGTGGAATTCATTTAGAGGTTCTAGTAATTTTTCGATGAAATCTTTAGGGTTCTCTATATACAGTATCATGTCACTTGTAAATGATGACAGTTTTACTTCCTCCTTTCCAATTTGGATGCGTTTTATTTCTTCTTGTCTGATCGCTGTGGCTCGTCCTTCCAGCACTGTGTTGAATAAGGGTGGTGAAAGCGAACACCCGTCTTGTGCCGATCTTAAGGGAAATGCTTTTAGTTTTTCTCTGCTGAGTATGATGGTGGCTGTGGGTCTGTCACATTGGCCTTTATTATTTCCTCTTTGCTGAGAGATTTTATCAGAAGTGGGTGCTGGATTTTGTCAAGTTTTTTCTGCATCTATTGATATAATTATATGATTTATATCCTGCACTTCGCGTATGTGACGCATCATGTTAACTGATTTGTGGGTATTGTACCAACCTTGCATCCCAGGAATCAATCCCACTTGATCATGGTGAATGATTTGACATATTGATGAACATGGTTTGCTAATACTTTGTTGAGGATTTTTGCATCTATGTTCCAAAGGGACATAGGCTATAATTTTCTTTCTTTATAGTGTCTTTATCTGGTTTTTAAAGCAGGATAATGCTGGCTCCGTAAAGTGAGGCTGGGAGACTTCCATCCTCTTGAAATGTTTGGAACAGTTTGAGGACAGGTGTTAGCTCTTCTTTGAATGTTTGGTGAAATTCAACTGTGAAGGCATCTGGTCCAGGACTTTTGTTTGTTGGTAGTTTTTGGGTTTTTTTATTACTATTTCATTTAGTTGATTGTAATAGATTTGTTTAAATTTTCTCTTTCTTCTTGACTCAGTCTTGGGAGATTGTATGTTTTAGGAATTTATCCATTTTTTCCAGATTGTCCAATTTGTTGGCATATAGTTGTTTGTAATATTTCTTGTAATTCTTTATAATTCTGTGGTGTTGTAAGTTGTCCTCTTTCATTTATGGTTTTATTTATTTGGATCCTCTCTTTTTCTTGATGAGTCTGGTTAAAGGTGTATCAATCTTGTTTATCTTTTTCAAGAACCAGCTCTTATTGTCATTGATCTCTTGTATTTTTTATACTCTATTAATCTACTGAACCCCGTGGACTGGTTAGCAGAAGGCCCAAGGCACCCCGAGACCTTCCTCTGCCTGCCTTTGCCAGTCGGCTGCATGTTAGGCTGTCATCGTCAGAGCCTCTGGTGAGACAAGAGCAGGTTCTCAGTGAGTCAACAGTTAGGTGGGAGAGGTGTTCACAAGACTGATATAGGTTCAAGCTCAGCAGATGCTGCATCAGAGGCTGCGCAGCAAAAGTTTCAGGGTTCACCAAAGCCAGCTGCCACCTGCTGTGTGCCTGCTAACATTTGTTTTGGGGCATAGTCTCAGGGATGTGAAGGTGAGGCCAGCAGCGTTCATCAGGCCCAGTGAGGCCAGGATTTGGCCATGTGAAGGGAAGGCTCTGCACAGTAAAGGGTAGTGCCAGTGGGGCTAGGGAGGTGAGGGAAAGATGGCCCATGTCACAGAGCCACACAACTTAGTATCTCCCTGAAGCCGTCTGGACACTTCAGAGCCGTCCAAGGGTGTGTGCACTGAGGGCCTAGGCTGGCATGAGCTTGGCAGGGCTGGATAACAGGGAGTGGAGAGGTGTGACTAGTGCATTCCTCCAGCCTGATGCTATATGGAGGGCAGTGCTCGCCCCAGGAAAGATGCTGTGAGCCGTGTGAAAGAGGGACTCAGCACAGGGATCTTGGTAGCTGTCCCTTCCACTCTCTCTTGGCAGCCACACTCAATTCCACATTTGCTCCAAGCCGCTCTCCCTCTGTGGCAGTCCACGGTAAGTGGCTGCAAATGAGATTTTGTGTGTTTAGCTCTTTGAGAGGGTTCCTGTGTTTCTTAGCAGACTCCTGCCTCTTCCTGGTCGACAAAATCCTTGCTGATTTTCACAGCCAGATGTTATGTGGGCTCCTCTTTCCAGCTCTGGTGCTGTGGGCTGGGGAGCCTGGCACAGGGTTGAGACCCACACTCTTCAGGGGGACCTTTGCAGCCGAGACATTCCTCTGGGATCTCAGCCACCACCCTTGGGCCCAGCCCTTTTCATGTCTCTGCCCTGCCTGCAGTCCTGATGTGGCTTCTCTGTAAACCCTTGGTTACGAGACTCTTCGGCTGGTCTTCAGCTGGTTATTCAGGTTGACTGCTCTATAATTTAGTTGTTATTCCAGTTTGATTCTAGGAGAAGGTGAGAGAAGCTTCCACCTCCTCCACTGCCATCTTGGGTCCCCCTGTGCTCCCATAATTCCGGTGCATAGTTTTATTTTTGAATACCACATTCTAAGATATTTATGTACTTACAAGTCTGTTTCCCTGAGGGTGGGGACTCACGCATGGATGCCCAACACCAAGCACAGTACCGAGCACAAAGAGTGACCAATCAATACATGTTAGGCAGTCAAATGGGAAAGGCTGCTGCTCCGTGTGGCAGATTCTCTGCAAAGAACGGAGCATTTTCAAAGGATCCACTGGCCTCAATATACGCAGCCTCACCAGAGTTCCCTGCTGCTCACCCTGTGCTGACCTCTCTGCACCCCAGGCCTGGCCCTCCTGCCTCGCTGGGCCATTCTCCTACAACAGGAGTCACAGCTGTTCACTTCGGTGAACCAACCCTGTGCCAAATGCAGTGTCCTAAACTTAATGGTTATGTAAGAAACCCCTGAGGATATTTACCACTTGTGGAAAAGTCACAGAAGCCCCTAGGACGTGCCCTAGCATACCCACAGAGCCAAGATTCGAAGCATGTGGCCAGGATAGCTGTGCAGCTTCTCCAGGACACTTACCCACTAGTCTTGCTTGCATACATCCAAACACAGTGATGGGAGCATCCTTCTCGTAATCCCGGAAGCCACCACTCCGCTGAGGTAAGCTGTGAGGCATGTTCAGGTTGGTGCGGATATAGCGGCCTAGAGAAAGTCATGCAAAGGCCATGTGAGTTCTTGTTTCCTTAGGACTTCCACTGCTGATCCTGACAGCCTGTTTCCGTTCGGCCAAAGAGACTAAATTGCGCTCTCTAGAAAATATCAAGGCTGACACTTTTCCTTTGTTAGAATGTCTTGAAATCCACCCCTCTATTCTGCTGACAAAAGTGACAAGAGATAGGTTTTAAGTGAAAACAGTAGCCAGGTGCTCTAACATGGGGCCTCCTCTGCTATCTAAGCCTCCCTATGTGAAACATACCACTCAAGTGAAAACGGAACCACTGTGAATGTGGGTGAATTAAGGGTGGGGACTCTGGCCACGGAATCAAGATGCCTGTCCCTGCCTGACTGCCATATGACTGTGGGCAAAACATTTGCCCTTTGGTCCCTGGTGTCCCAGTTTATAGAATGGAGACAAGAACACTTACCGCTTCCCTTGCACTCAAGACAACAGGGAAGGAGCTATGAATGTAACACATCACAGGCTTTTCTACAGCCACCTAACCGTAAATGACTCCATCCCCATAAACGTGGCTTGACTGTGCCCCCTGGAGGCCATGATCAGTACAGCAACGCTGAGCAGCCAACCCACTACTGGCTCACCTTTGGCATCGAAGCACTGGGATAACCAGTACTTCCCAAACACGACATCCATCCTCTCGCCATGCCGACACACAAAGAGGCATCTCTTCTGGGGGCCAGGCTGGCTGCTGACCCTCAGAGGCTGCAGATAAAGAAAGGCTATTAGTGAGAAAACATGAGAAAGCAGGTATGTCCTGGTGCCAGGTGAGCTGAGCTCTAGAGCAGGCTCTGCTAATGTAAGACTTGGTCTATCTATAAA